CATAGCAAATCTTTATCCCCCTCCCACCGCATAACATTGCATAGCTCCTCCTCTGACAGAAAGCAGGTGTCGGTGTGGACCTTTCACATGCTTCCTCTGTTGCTCGTGGCTGATGATTCCAGCACTTTGGAAGCTAAGGGATTAGCCATCTGAGAGGTAAGGCACCAGCAGCTCCTATGGACTTCCTGTGAAATTATGGATCACTGTGCCAGAAACCACAAATGCCACAGGAAAGCAAGCCTTGGCCTTGCTGTGCTCAGAGGACTGCCTGCTCTGAGCAGCAGAGTGTCTGGTTCAGCACTGCAGCGCATTGTTATCTGCTTATTTATGCCTACACCACTGCTGTTCTCTCTTAACAGGAGGAAGCAGCCTGACAGCAGCACTGTTTTTCATCCCAGCTCTCTCCTTGCGTGAATCTGAGTACCTTTCGTTATCCATGGCTGGGCAGTAGTAGCAGAATTGCTGAAGATTTAAATTATTCAGCCTCTGTTGCTGACTCAGCTTTAAAACTGCATTTACGTTTCCTAAGATAACAGCTTGTTGACCAGAACCAGGGAGCCTGGCTGCTCCTTGGAGCCTCAGCAGGTGACAGAAGCACAGGGAGTGTTTTCCTCTGTAAGCAGAAGGGGGACATGCTGGAGTAAGGTGAACGCCTAGCATACCCTTGTCCTTGTACCAGGAGGACACAGTGAGCTCTCAGAAAGAAGCAGATCTCCTTCAGTGACTTCAGCCCTGGACCCATCCTGGCATCGTTTCTCAAACTGCTGAAAGCAGGAAGGGCTGCACTTCATTCCCTGAGCAAAAGCACACACGCAGTTTCCTCAAAATATTGAAGCCCACTGTTAAAAGAAAGTTATTTACACTTCTCCAAGGTAATGTGTTTAAGGTTCTCTGCTGCACACACGACACTCCCCATTCCCTTAAATGAAAGGAGAAGAACAGCTGAGGACAGACTAGCAGCAGCCAGCGAAGTGTCTGGTGCTGGGAGATCACTTCTCTGGTTACATGGAAGATAACAACAGAGGAAGGAGCCTTGCATTCCTTCACAGCTACATCATAGTGCAGTTGAAGAGTTTCTCCAAAGGTCAGAGGCAGAACTTTGTATCTTGAAAAAACAAAACTATTTGTAGCTGACGGAGTAGTTTTCTTTAGAGACCTCCTCTTCCTTCTAAAGTTCTGACAGAGCTGCTCTCCGCCCCACTGACTCTGTCTGCAGTTGCTGCTGGAATTCAATGTTTTTATCTCAGGTGTAAACCTGGAATGCAGTGGCACTGAGGCACCAAGGCTGCTGAGTCTCATCCCAGGAGCCATCTCAGGACAGCAGAGGGAGAAATTATTTTTCCTGTGGGTATGATAGATATTATAGCATCCAGGGCACAGCACTTAAGACAATACTGGAACCCTGACTCACAAAAATCCCTGAAGCCCACGGGGGTGCACAGTGGCCTAAGTGGGAGTTGAGAGCTATTATTCGCTGTAACTCTTGGCCACTTTTTCTCAACATGAGTTTGCTCTTTCTTAGAGAGTATTCCTGTTGTGTCCATTGTAAATAATTTCCCTTTGCAGAGCTCCAATTTAACTCTGTGTTAGCTTTTGTGGGTGCAACATGACACTGACCTGTACAATCTCAGAGGCCTTTAAGGGGACGTTCACATGCTCAGATGTCACTAAGGAGAGGATACAATATAAAATCTTAGGGAATGAGCAACCCAGCCAATCTCAGTTCAGGGTCTGGAAACAGGTAAGTGTTAAGGAACTGTCTGAAACCTTAGCCTTTTGAGGTGTTTTCACGGAAATGGAAAGAGCTCCTGGGATTAAGAGCTATTAATTTATTAGAGCTGTATTTGTTATTTTTCAAGCTCTCCCAGGCTCTGAGTTCTCAGACAGAATTATGCCCATACTGTTGGTTTCTCCAGAACTGCAAGCTGTTGTCAGAGATGTTACTGTTAGGTATAACAGGCAAGATAACAGTGACAAACTGCTAGTAAAGCAAGTTGCTCTAGGGTATTAGTTTTCAGCACTGATACATGCAACTCACCTGTCTGCAGTTAGATAGTGGGAACTTCAGAGATGCCTCAGGTGAGGTAGTAATGAGTGAGACCTAGTAGAGGGATCAGTGGGAAGCATTCAGAAAAATATGATTAACAAGGGGCAGCAATTAATGTAGCAAAGAGACCAGTTTCCTTAGAGATGGAGCCTGCACCAGCTCCACAAACAGCCAAGGAAAGAAATGGTTATTAGTGTATTACATGCTTCAAAGCAAAGTGCTCTGTTCTCCCCCTTCTTCAGGGAAGGGAGGAAGCAGGCACGCACCTGCCACCTCACAGGACCCTGTTCAGTCATGCTACTGCAATTGCCTTTACTTCTAGAGCTATAGAAATGTGACTGATAGTAGCGTTAACCCTGTGAGCTGGGTTGCCTCAAGACAGATATCTAGTGCCCTGTGATATGCCCATCTGCCTCAGCTGCTGATCCATGGGTCTGCTACAGTCCACTACCTGCTAGCCCATGTGGATGTCACCAATAGCCTGGGGTACCTCAGTGACCTGAGCTCTTGCTGCCTCCAAGCACCTCCTCTGAGGTATGGAGAAGTCACTTGAGGGCTGTTTGCAGGCAAAACTCCAGGTGTCAGTGGGGGAGCAAAGGCTTTGTGGCTTGGCCAGGCTTGCCAGGACCATGCCTGGTGATAGTTCCTCTGTCCCTCAGAGGAGCTCTGACCTGCAAACATCCCTGTCAGGGGCTCTTGAATTTAGGCACTTTTCTCATTTCTCATGGTTGCAGAAAGGCTTTGCCTCAGTGATGGGGACCTGGGACAATTCCTTCTTACCGCCCACCACGTGGCCTGTGGGCATGTGCCAAAGCACCCTGCGGTTACCATTACAGTACCCCACAGTAACCACAGCTATTTCCTGCTCTGCACACAGTCACAGGGTTTCCCTCCCTCAGCCATGCTGTGGCTGTGGGCACATTATGTGCATGAGGGAATCCTGGGCTGGAGCCAAAGGGTGAGCGCCATGTCCCCTCCTGCACTGTGCAGGGCTCACCTCTTCACCCTCATGGGGAGGACGTGGCATCACTGGATAGCTAGAAATCTGGAGGACTGAGCCAATCTGAGACAGCTCATACCTTGCAGCCAAGGGGTTTGCCACCCCAGAGATTATCCCATCCCTGAGTTTGCCTGTAATGGGTTTGTGAAAGTCACTGCTGCTGGTGCTCACTGGTGCCAGAGGCTGCACAAATCAAAACTAAATCCTAGTCCCTGCCTGAGAGAGCTCTTGCAATAGAAGTGGGGGGGCACCCATTCAGCAAACAAGTGGAGCAATCTCACAGGCACTTTCACACTGCTTTTCCCTGAGGTGTGGTAGGAGGTAACCCCAAATACATTGGAGGGCACAGGTCTTGTTTCTAGGGCTTTGTCAAGTGTGTATGTTATCCTGGTGGCTGCAGGACCTGGAGAAAGTTTGCATTTATGCTGAGGAAGCAACTTTGAATAGGCTCATGAGCTCTGGCTGGTAAGGTCCTGTCGTCAGGGTGCAGAGGACTCATATTTGCATTCATGACATGCAGTTATGTGGGGGGCCGGGAGGGGAAAGGCGGGATCTGAGACATTGATGGTGCTGCTCTGTAGGTTCAGAGCAGCAACGCTTTTTAGAGCAAATGTAGCGTGCCAGCCAGCAGTTGCAGTGCCCATCCTTTTGACTATTAACATTTGAGCTCTACCTGAACTGGAGGTGGAGTCTATTATAGCTCAAATACCAGAGGGATCCCAGGCTTCCAGGGAAGTGCTGAATTGTACTGGACAAGGGGAAGGTGTTTTCCTTAGACTGAGGTAAGGACTCTGCTTTGCTCTAATGCTTCAATGTGGCCTTTGCTCAGTATAAAAATCTCAATTTCTATGTAATGCAAAGCATTTTTCCATCCTAACAGGTTCTCTTGATCTACTTTTCCTGCCTCTCAGCTGATATAAGCTTTCCCAGTGGTGAGCTGGGCTGTTTTATAGGAATTCCCTAGGGAGATACAGCTGACAGAGCTGTTGTTTTTTTTCTCTGAAGCTGCAAGTGTCACAAGCCATATTTATCCGTATGCTGCCCAGGCCTTTCCAGGTGTGATCACCTTATGACCTTGCATTCACTGGTTTGGCCCCAGTGCCTGGAAGTGCCTTGGCCTTCTTGAACCTGTAATTGGCAAAAAGGGCCAGATGAATGGTAGCTAGAAATAGAAACCAAGCCGTGCGGCTTCCCTGCAGTCCCCCAGTGCTTTGTCAAGATGGCCTCAGTTTAACATCTGGCTCCAAGATGCGGTTAGCAAAACACTAGCAGAAGGATGCCTCCTGCCAGCCAGGAGTGCCAGGTGAGCATCGCTCTGCGGTGTGTCACCCTGAGCACGAGGAGAGGGTGGGACGGGAGCGGTCTCCAGGAGGTCTGTTCCTTTGAACAATTGGTGTGACTCCCTTGCGTGTCTTTCAGAGAGGGCATGCACCAACCACTGTGGACCCCTTGCCTTCTTGCTGCAAGCAAGGATCTCCTGAAGGGATGCTGGAGCAGGAGTCTGCTGTGCAGGTAGAAGGGGGGGAAGGGGCGCGTTCATTGTATTGCAGTAGGCTTCAGGCCATACAAAGAGCCTGGAGCTGCTGTCACTAGACCTCATTTGCCACTTCAGTTCCATCTCGGTGTCCTTCATTTGGGACTATGCCCAGCCAAGGTCTGCAGAGACCAGTGAACAATCTGGGGTCTTCTGCTAACTGCCTCTGGCCCAGTCTGCTTTGTGCAGCACAAACCAAGAGACAGTGTAGTTCTGGCCAAAGAGCTGTTTCATTTTGCTTTTTGTTTCTGAAATTTCATCTTCCCTTGTACTGTTTGAAGAGCAGGGTTCACGCACGTGGGCTCCTCCTTGTTTACAGCTCATAGATATGTTTATGAAGTGTGCCTCAGGAATGACACTCACTAAACACTTCGTGTCCAGCCTGGCAGCTCTCCCCAAGCCCCTGACGTGGGACAACCTGTAATCTCCAGACTCCAGGCAGGAGCCTCCCCGTTGTGCCGGCATGCAGGCAGGCAAGTGTGAGTGGTGATAGTGTGCAGTCCTGCTGCTGATAAACCTCTTGCAGACTGGCTGCTCACACTTGGTTTGGCTGCAGCATTCAGTGTAAGTAGGCTGATCAGAGCTGCAGACCCTGGCTGTCCAGGGTGAGCTGACTTTCTCCTGCAGTGATGCCATGCCTGCATTACTTGAGGGTGAGTACTTCGGCATGGTGAGGGGCTTGCTGGGCACCACTAGGCGAAGAGGAATCAGGTCAGTTCTCAGTGTGTTGGTTTGCACATGGGAGTTTAGGTATATCCTGGCCAGTAACATGGACTTAAGTCTGGTCTAGAGAAAACGGCCCTTGTCCCCAAAAGATTGCAGCTAAATGGACCATAGAATGACAGGAAGGGTTTGCTGCCCTTCTTAGGTCGCTGGGAACTTGCCTAAGGTCATGCTGGGAGCCAGTGGCAGAGCCTGGCATTGAATCCAGAATGGCAAGGTCCCCTGGGTGCTGTACTCGCCTCGTCCTTCTCACCACTGCTTTGTTGGCAGAAGAGACGTGCCCTCAAGTGTTGTTTTTTTGCACTGTTGTAATGGTAAATGTTGATTTCTGTGTTATCATCTTTCTTATTTTACCCACCCAAAGCTCTGGGACAGGTGCACAGGATGACGCTTCTTTCTAGGCACAGTGCTGCACTAGCTCTGCTGAGGAGCAGGTGGCTGTGGTGCTATGGTTTTGCTCGCGTGTCCTCACCAGGGATCAGCTGGCAGAGATATATTGCCAGGCCTGTGCTTCAGGTGCTTTCCTGTCAGTGCTTTCTTCCCTGCATGGCTTCCGGAGGCTGCACCCCGAGCGCTGGCCAGACCAGCCTGGCTGAACGCTGCTAGCAGTAAATCTATTGCAGCCGTGGCACAGGGACTGCACTGTGATTCCTCACAGTGTGCAGATCCTAGCAGAAAGCCCCCTTCTCAGCGCTTTTGCTTGTGCAGGCAGGCAAAGCAGGTATGGACTAGCCCTGCTGAAGCAGAGTTAGAGAATGAGTCAGAACAGAGTGCAGAAATTAGGAGCAGTTTATAAGCATCACTAGAAAAGAGAAGGAATTTTCTCCACAAGGCACTGGGGCAGAGCCTGATGGCACGGTCTGGACTCCAGCGCATCTCCTGAGTGCAAGGACACTGCCCAGAGGCCAGGGCAGTCTGCAAGGTGTGCCTTGCAGACTGAGTGAAAAGCTTTCGTGTATTGTCTGTGTATTGTCTTCAGTCACAGTCTGTATATTTTCTGGTGAGGTAAAAATAGCTTTTCTTTTTCAGGATATGCAGAGAGCAGAGGCTCCTGGAGTCTGCAAGGTGTGCCTTAGTCCCTGGCTTGCATCAGGCAGGCTCAGAGCATGTGTCTGCTTTCCCCCTTGCACTGGCAACCTGCGAGAGCCCTCTCAGCTCCTCAGTGTTCATTGCACACACCTGCCTGAGCCATGTCATGGTCCAAGGAAGGAAGTGCATTAGGAAAGTAGAAGATAAAAAGCAGTTAGAGTGCTGCTGCATCTCTCTCAGCAGCTGTAAACCCTGTTATGTTGTTAGAAGAGGTGTAGTGCCTGAGTGAAAAGCTCTCGTGTATTGTCTTCAGTCACAGTCTGTATATTTTCTGGTGAGGTAAAAATAGCTTTTCTTTTTCAGGTTATGCAGAGAGCAGAGGCTCCTGCTAACATCAAAGGAGAGTGACAGCTTTCCCCTGGGTATGCATGGCCTCAGCTGGCAGGAACAGTAGCTGTGTTAATTCTTGCCTTGCTTTGGCTCTGTGTGAAAGGAACAATGTCCTGGTCTCCAGCTCCCTGTTCAGACCTCTGGACCAGCCCCTGTTCTTCTCTCCACTCATTGCTGCAGGACCCAGCACTGTACTTCATTGAGGAAGTGATGGTTTGCAAATGACAGAACAAGATCTTGATGCTACTACTTAGAAAATCCATTAGTAGCAGGTGGGAACTGACAGAGGCAAGCTTTCATAGAGCTGTAGGCTGTAGCACCAGGGGATCCTTATCAGAAGGATCAGTCTGCTGTGTAGGGGCAGCTCCCAAGTCCTTGCTCAATGCAGATTAAGCTGTTTCTGGTATCCACCCTCCTCACAGTCCTGAACCTGTTCCAGCTTCAGCAGCTAGCAAAGGGGACCTGCGAGGGGGGAAGGAAGGAGCCAAAGGGCAATGCAGATGCTGTCCGCATCTGAATATGCTCAGCAGGGACCGAGTTAGCCTTGGCCCTGAACTGCACCACCAGTGACAGTCCAGAACTACCTCTCCTGTTAAGAGTGCATAAAAATGGGCTTTCCGAAAGTTGGTTACTCATGATTATGTAATGATGGAGGATTGTGCATGATGGAGGGGCCAGTCTGGTGCTTGTGCCTGAAAGCTTGCCCCCTCTTCAGTACTTTCAAAACGCTAATTGACAAGTTGCTTCCCTTCCCACAAACCTGCCAGGGACCCTCCTTCTTTTGCTTTGGGATTTTTCCTCTGCCAGTTGTGCTGAGTTCTCTTCCAGCTCTAACAGCCCCTTGCCGCAGAAACATGAGCAGATCTTTCATTTCCTGCATGCTCTGATTCACCTGCTGCAAGATGTGTGGGATCCCCCTTGCATTCTGGTCTGGGGATCTCTGCTGGCATATAAGCCATGGCTTCTGTGGTACATGCCTTGGGGAGGCCTGGGGCTGTTGTGAAATCTCCACTCAGTAGAAGGGAGCATGGACAAAGAGTTTACTCAGGCTGGTGCATGAAATGAGAACAAACTCGCTTGGCAAATGCCTTCCAGAGATGACCTCTTGTGCCTTGACTCTCATCAGTCCTACTGACATCTGGGGACCTGTCCTAAATCATGTGGGCAGAGGTGAGGATGATTAGAGAATAGAAGTTGGGCATATGGATTTATCCTTTTATCTGATGAATCTTCCCAGTGCTTTTGCTTTTCTCTTTCATCTGGGTTTGCAGTATGTGCCTGGTAGCCTGTTTTCTGTGCTCTGCTGGCTGCCTGCCTGAGGCTTTGCTACTATGGCCTCTCTGGAGATGCTGTGCTTTGGTGAATGCTGTCTTCTACTCAGAAGGTAGAAACCTGCCAGTAGGTTTTGTTTCCACTGCGGGGACCACTGAGAGTTTCAAATTTCTTTGAATACAGATAGGAAAGTTCCTGTAAGGCAGACAATGTGATGTCTGTTTGTGGGTGTTTTGAGTTGAATCTCCGATTCAATTTTCCTGATCTTCTCTGATCATCGTAGAGAGACCCTAGGTGCCATCTTTGACTGCTCTTAGTCTTAGCAGCTGTTTCAGTGTGTTTCCAGGACTGACATATTCTTCTCATCTGATGAGAAAGGATCCAGGTTATCACCTGCAGACCTGGGCACTTGATGTCTGCAAAGCAGGGAGGTCCAAATGAGCTCTGGCTGCAGAGAAATCCCTAGGTTGGGCAATTGCTTGAAAGTAAACCACTGCACTGATATAAGGTTTTGCCGTCTCTGCTGGAAATAATGCCTCAAAGGTGAGGATCATGCCCACTACTGGACACAAGCCCACATGAGCAAAAAAATGTCAAAGCAAACGTGAAGGGCTGTTGCAAGGTTTATTGCGCTACCTCCCCAGCTGGCAGCGCTGACCTTAGGTTCCAGCACCCTGGCACTAGCAACTGGAAGTGACTGGGATGACCTCCTAGATGTGAGTTGGACCTTTCCACACTGTCTAGGTAGGATACCCATAGCAATACATGGCTTTGGTGCCAGGATTCAGGTTTGCATCTCACTGCTGGTCCTGGGGCTCTTTGGTTGTTGAGGTGATTGTGTGCTGCCCAGCCTGCCAGGTGTTTCCTTGCTGGACCTCCTCTGTCCTCTGTTCCATGAGCCCATGTCAGTCTGGCTCTGCTTCCCCCTGCTCACTGGCAGACTGGCCACATACAGGGGGAAGCGTGTCTGCTTGGCAGGGCTGAATGCCACTGCTGCCTCCCCTAGGTAGGGCCGATGGTAAAACTGTGCCTTCCCCTAGCAGCAGCACATGACTCTTGGAAGTGATTGTGGCCCTCCTGTTGCTGTTTCTCTGCTGTTCACACAGTTTGCACATCCCAGTTTGCAAGATGCCTCACCTGACTTTGCTCCTAATATATCCCAGAGAAAGGGCGGCACATGTTGGTCCTGATAAGGGGTTTTGAGAGAGTGTTAGAACAATGGAGCTGCAAACAGATGCCTGCAGTGTGCAGAGCAGGAGCTGCTAACCTCCTTGCTGGAAGGAGCACATGGCTTCCAAAGAATACAGAAGAGACAAAAGAGTTTGAAGATGCAGGGTTATCATCAGTGGCAAAACTCATGAGACAGCAAGAAACCTATGTAGTGGTGTAATTGCTTTCAAGATCCTTGCTGTAGAGCAGCCATAGGAAGCTTTTCATGCAGCAAAGCCTGCTGCTCCTCACTGGCAATGTTTTCCAGTAGCTAGGCCTGGAAGAAACAAAACTGAACAAGCGCCAGGGCTGGCAGGAGGGTGCCTGCGTCAAGAAAGGTGTACATGGGCCTGGTCTGCCTCTGGCATGCAGGGACTAAGGCAAAACTGCCACACAGACAGCTTCCCTCTCTTTCCATGTGGGCATCAGCTGTGTGGCTCAGCACTCAGCAGCAGAGCAGACCCAAACTTCCTGGTCACTGGGTCTGACTGCTGTTTGGCAGAAAGCTTTTTGCTCCCCAAGGCATGGGAAGTAATTTGTTATTTGAAAGTCTGCATTGCAGTTCCTCTTCTCTGGTGTTCTTCAGTGAGACCAGAGACTCTGAAGATATGCAGCAGAGACCAGGGAAGGGGAAAGGCAGGGGCTGAATGACGTGACTGGGAATCAAGACTCTGGGAATTCCCTGTAGCACTGCATGTTTCAATTGTATCGCACAGCCAGAGCTGCCCTGCCGCTGGGTAGAGAGTGAAGAAAATATAGCCCATTTAAAAAAAACTCACAATGACTGCAAGCTCCCCTACTCTTCCCTCTCTGTAACTCGTCCTTTCAGTTCTTCCAATGGAGCAGGGAATCAGCTGGTTTCAAGCATCAAAGCACTTTGTTTTTGCAGGCAGTGAGAAGGTCTAGTGGATGCTAGCAGCCTCTGACAGGGTGTGCTGCACCTTACCTGCCTGTACTGTTGCCTGGTGGTTGTGCGGCATGGGCAGGGCTGCTCTCCAGGGACTACTGGAGTCAGAGACTTGTTGGAAAGGGCACCTAGTCCCTTTCTTTTGGCATCTTTGGCCCTGTCCATAGCAGGACATGTTCCCAGGCACTCCCACAGACCTGTGTGTGCATCCTTGCAGTGAAGGGGTCCCACCTCCTCTGGAGCTCCTCAGCAAGAAGCCAGCTCGGCCATTCCTCATGCCAGGTGCTGTATAAGCAACGAAGTAGTTGCAATGCCTGTTCAGTCTGCTTCATTGCTCCAGCCAAAGACCTGCAGATAGAAGAGACAAGTGGGCAGATAGGGTAAAGAGGGCAGTGTAGCAGGATGCACGTGTGCCTTTTGCCAGTCTGGAACAGTGTGGCGACTTGCTTCTTGCCTGTCTTTGTGTCCCAGAAAACACTGTGAGATCAGCACAAGTCCCTGAACTCATTTGCACTTGGGAATCATCTACTTGCAGCATTTAGCAGCTTGTACAGAGTGGGCTCCTGACAAACGTGGTCACCTTTCACAGAAGGAGGCAAAGTTGAGACCCTCCCTTCCTTTATCAGTGATGTGCAGAAGGAGCTGGTGAGAGCTCCTCCCTGGGTGGGAGTGAGAGTGAGGCATTGCCAGAAGAGATTAGAGCGGGACTCCGACCACAGGCAGAAGACAGAGCAGGATTACTGAACTTCTGACTGCAGCCCTTGAAATCCAGCCTGAGCCTCTGGTTTGGCAGAACTTCCCCTTTGCTTATTGCCTTAGCCACGGCTATCATGCAATGGGCTTGGTCAGGTCCAGGCTTCTCATGTTGGGGTGAAGGGGCTAGGACATTCATCCAGTGGCAGTAAAGCTTTGCCAGGCGAGGCTGTGAGAGCAGGAAGACACCCATGAATAGGAACTATTCACACTAATCCATGGGCCAGCCACTAATCAGGGCCAGGAGAGGGAAAGGGAAAAATTTAGATTGTCGTCAGACAAGGGGAGCTTTTTCCTGAAAGAAAAGAAAGGGAGGGAGAATAGAAGCACAGTCTGATGTGCTGTGCTATTTTTTTTTTACTTTACAAGGTCTTGGAGCACTTTGCAAAGTCCAGATCTGAGGCTTCTCCCTTGGGGAATTGCTGGCAGCAGCCAGCTTGAATGTCCACAATTCTGTGGAGCACGACACCTGTGTGTAGGATTTAGCAGCTGTGTAAGAGTGCAAGAGGTACACAATGGCAAGTGAGGCAGTTTAGTTTCTCCCCTGGAATAGCTCCTTCCTGGAAAATTGCTAGGAAGGCAAAGGAGAATGGAAAGAAGCACTACAAACTCCAAAGAAAGGAAAACCAGTAGAGGCAGTCTCTGCATCTGGAAGCAGTTGCTGTATATCCTGGGGCACATGGATAGCAAGTGACTGCGTGTGCATGTGTGTACAAATACCAGGGGCTGCGTGGAGCATGCCCATGCTATGCTTTGTGCTTCTTAGTGGATGGTAACTGTGCAATGTGTGTGCGTGTCTGTGTTTACTACATACGTTGGTGTTGTGCTGATGGGGATGTGTGTGTGTGTGTGTATCTTTTTGATACGCACATCTACTTGTGTCCGTAGGGTCTCTGCATTTCTTGCTGTCACTGCTCCCTTTTGCTGAAATTCAGGAGATGGCAGTGACCCAATCTGTACTTCAGTTCCCTGGCTAATCTAGTGTTGTCTTGATCTCTGTGACACCCCTAAGTAAAGCGAGCTGTTGCGAGTGAATGCCCCTGGAATGATAGGTAGGCAGTCCCAACATGCACACTGACAGCAGAAGGGCAATATGACTGCAGATCTATTTCCTCTGCTTTTACCATTTGAGCTGAGCTATCCCTTCTTCCCTGGCTGTATGTGTTGTCTGACTGCTGGTGTCTGATGTCCTGCATCTCTCTATGCGTCTCTGAAAGGTGCACGCTGAGCATGGAGAGCAGAAGGGCAATACCTCTGAAGCACTCAAGCCTCAGCACATTCTCCAGGGCCCTGGCCCCCAGCATCCAGAGGGACAGGAGGGAACCGCAACCCCTCTCCTCTGTGGCAGGTGTTACCTGTGAAATGCCAGGCTCCTGGGAATGTCTGTGGGGCTGCTTTTTCTCTGCTGTTCCGGAGGTGGTACCTGCAGCTCTGACCCGCTCTCTGCACTTGGCAGCAGTCATCTGCTTTCCGGAGGCAGCTTGGTATTAAATATCCTGTCTGACACAATAATGGAGAGAAAATGAACAAATTCCATTAGCGGCTGGCGATCCCTGCAGGGTCTGCATTGAAGCGAGGACGGAGCCTGTATTTTTAGACAGAATGCAATGTAACTTACTGGCTCTCTCAAAGCTGGGGAGTAGATAACCAAGGAGGGAGAGAGGGGACACCAGGCTCAGGTTTCAGCTGAAGTGCTGGACTATGGCAGCACGAAAGGGCAGGTCCGGTCCAGACGTAGCTGTGAGTATACAATGCACTTCTCCTTCATGCCCACAGAGACCTCCGCTTTGCTTTTCTGCTTGCTTTCTGCCTGTAGTCTCTGCTGCTGGGTGTGCTGGGACTTCGGGACCCCCTTTGCTGCTGGAACCTGTAGAGTTTTACCATTTTAATCTTCGCAGCTTCATGTGTGTCCCATGGGTGGGAGAGCCTGGCTGAGCTGTGCTTTGACTTTCCAAGGGGTTTGCTGTCGAAGGTCTGTGCTGTGGCTGGCATGCTGGCAGCATAGCTGAGGTGCTGCCCTGTCATTGATCCTGACCTGAGATGCAGAGGCTTCCAGCAGGGTCTGGAGTTGGAAAAGCTCTTTGCACTCAACCTGTTGCTTGAAGCTGTCAGTGTTTCCTCGCTAGACCCCAGACAGCATGCAGGGCTCAGAGCGCAAATGTGCACTTCTAAGCACAGCGCCGGTGCTGCCTTCTGCCTCTTACCATAGTAAGAGGTAGAGCAGAGCACTGAGGTGCTATGTCGTGTCTCCTCTGTGCTCACAGCCCTCCACAAAACCGGCAGCTCTGCTGTGAATCTGGGGGCTCCTCCCAGATGGACAGGGCTCTCCTCTGAGGTAGTAGCAAGTGAGCCAGCTGGCACAGGAGGTCATGCAATCAGCATGTGTTTCCCCCACACGCGGAGGCTGTGCACCAGGACAGGGCATGGTGGTGCTGCCCTCCACCACCTGTCCCTCTGACCCCGTGGGCTGCCCCAGAAGGGGCCATGGCATCCAGCCACTGCTGCGGGAGCCTGGGCTGAGTCCTGCAGGGTGTGCCCGGCACAGTGGGGGCCAGGAGACTCTGTCTGTGGGCCTTCCTTCTGCAGGGGATAGCAGGGCAGTGGACCCAGGACATGGCTACGTTTCTCTGGGGTAGGAGGGTTGGGCAGAAAGGATGGGCTGGGGGAGGCAGATGGAGGAGAGCAGAAGGCAGCCGAGTTGTGCTGCTCCAAAGTCCAAATTCGAATGGCTGAGGCTGCAAAGAGAAGGGAAGAGAGGAGCCCTGAACCCGTGTGGTGCATCATCCTGCCTAGGTCTGCTCCAGTGCCGTCCTCTGTGGCCGTGCTGCTTCCAGCTCCTGTCCAGGAGCTTCCTAATCCTGGGTGCTCCTCCACAGCCAGGCTGTGGGCACTACAGGATGGCCTGGGATGGCAGGATGTAGGCACTCGTAGCACAGGAGGTCCCTTGGTCAGTCCCAACGTGAGTGGTACAAGAGGGGTTCTGATTTTCTATCAGAGCTGAAGGCAGAGGAGTGTGTCCTGCACCCTTGCCATGGATGTCTCACGGCTCTTTGCTGCAGACAGCCCTTTGGGCTGGACCTAGCAGGCAGGCACCAGCTCGTAGTCACTGGTCCAAGGTCCCAGCCTCACAGAGCCACATCACTGCATTTCCACCCTGTTGTTCTCCAGCTTCTGGTGAGCCATCCCATGGTCTTTGTTTGCTGCCTTACACTGCTAAATAGTATTGCCCAAAGTATTGCTGTACCTTGCCTGGGGTGGCTGTGTTTTAGTGGTGCAGGGAGGCACTGCCTTGCTTCTGTTGGAGAAGAGAGTTGTGACTTTCCTGGCTGCGGGGCGCTCGGCTGGGGTCATTGTCCCTGGTGCTGGTACTTGAACTCACCGCTGCGACTACCCAGCGGTTTCTGGAGGACAGCAGGGGTGGGCTCACCACAGCTGTAGTCTAGGCCTCATCCATCACTGCAGTCTCTCAGCCAGGACACAGAGGTGTTTCCTGGGCCAGGGGAGGCTGCCATGGTTGCAGGAGTCCCCTTAGAACTTCCTCCCTACCCTGCCCACAGTGCTGGGATGAGCTGCAGACCTCACGTGGCTCTCCTGCCCCGTCATCTGGATGCTCTTCACTCTAAGTACAGGTCCCAGCCCTGCTTCTTCCTGTCTGATTTGGGGCACCTCAGTCTGTCCCAGCAGTTCCCACCTTGACCTGACTGGCCTCTGCCTTTTCTGCCTGGTCTCTGTAGTTACGTTCTCTGCAACCAAGTGAAGAGCTGGCCCTGTGCTGGTGATGGGGAAGAACAGGGGGACTCTGAGTCTCATGCTTTTTCTTTTTATCCCAAGGCTGATGCTGCAACCAGTTTCTTGAGAGCTGCAAGATCCGGGAATCTGGACAAAGCCTTGGATCACCTCAGGAATGGGGTAGATATTAACACCTGTAACCAGGTAGGTGAAACCCACAGGGCTTCTGGTACCATCTCTAGTTCATGTGAAAATGAACTCCACTGTTCACCCCCTCCACCTGGGGGTGGCTCTCCCAGGCCCAGTGACAGTCACTGCACCCCTTCCTTACACTGCTCCCACAGGATGGAGGCAGGGAGGTTCCCCATGGCTGCTTGCTTGCTCTGCTCTGTGCAGCTGATTGGGAGCACCTGCCCTGATCCCACAGTCCTACCTGCCGTGGAGCAGAGTGTAAGTTGGCTGGTAATAAGTTGCCTGGCAGAGGAAGTTTAAAAACTTTGTGGGAAAGGCTGCTTGTCCTGACCCCAATCCCCTCCTGCGCCTGATGTGCCTGGCTCCTGTTGAAGCATCTGGGAGTGAGATAAAAGAGGTGCTGTGTTAGGTGGAGTGCAATGGCAACTTTGCTGTGCGGAGGTGATTTCCTGGGGATGATCTGCTCTGCTAAGGCATTGTGCAGTCTCCAGGCACATGTCTCCAGAGCTGTGGCATGCCCAGCTGAGGGGTAGGTGTGCACCGCCCTGGCAGAGCATGGAGCCATGACTGCCAGCACAGTGGGGGGATCCCTGGGGTGCGGAGTTGAGTGTCCTGGCAGACCCCATCCTTCTCTGACCTGCACCACCAACCCCTGCCAGGCTCCAGGCAACCTGCAGCCCCTTGTCCCTGCCTGTGTCAGGCAGCTGGCACAGGAGCTCCTAAGCAGAACTGAGCACAGGGCAGGCTGCAGCATGAGAGCGGTCCCTTGCTGAGGAGGTTTCCACAGCTGAGCTGGGTGGAAACAGGTCCTATGGCTGGGGAGGAAAAGGGCTGACCAGAAGGCAGATCTGGACCAGTTGTCTTTGGGGCAGGGAGGGCAGCAATAGCTATAAAGATCTGGGGAGTTTGGCAGTACTGGCTGGAGCATAGCAAAGGGCATTAACAGGTAAGCAGAGAGGGAGATCTGAGGCTCCTTTAGGGTGACAAGCAACTGGGACAGCTGGAAGTGGCTCAGCTGCTTATCAGAGGGCACAGCAGATAACTGTGAAGAGTGTAGCACAGTGGCTGGGATGTCACAGGAATCACTCTTGGGGATATTCCCCTTGCCTGCAATGCTCAGGCTTTCAGATTCCTAGAAGCTGCAGCTTAACACAAGCAGGGGATGTTTGCAAAATGCCAGTCTTCGTGGCTTGGGAGGTGCTGGGCAGATGGAGCCCCTCTTAGCCCAGAGCAGAGACAGGTCTGCCCCAGGAAAGGAGAGCTGCAGGCACAGAGGAATTATTTGCGCATAATCGACAGAACATTTTGTATCTGTGTAGCTGCCAAACGCAAGTGGCTCAGCCTGAATTACGGTATGTGCTGTAGGGAGAGACTCAGGGGGCTTGGGCTGAGCAAGGGGGACAGACAGACTGCACTGTTGGCTGCTTTCCAGAGCAGTAGTGATGCTAGGGAGGCTGACTCAGCAGGTAGCACAAATGTATATTCACCTGATTCAGTATCAAGTCCCCAAACCAAGCGTAGTTCAGACCTACTGATTTGTGCACTGCAGTGGCCAGTGCAGTTACTGCAGACAGGTTCCCCCAGGAAATGTCACCATCTCCTTTTCTTTTCTGACTGATGGTACCGTGCAGGGATTCTGGGCTTCTGCAGGCCCCTGGGGCACACTGCAGCTTGCATTCTCCTCTCTGGGACACTAGATGAGGTTTGGGGAAAGCTCAGGAGATGCTAATTTTGTTCATCACTGTATTATCTGGGTTATTAGTTCATAATCAGCATCCAGATACTTTCAAAGACTTCTATCCTGGGGCTGTGTGGGGACATAAGGGATTTAGATCAGAGGGGTCTTGTAGGGAGAAGAGGTAGAAAATTTTCAATTTCAGAATTCTTTGAAGATGAGCTTTTCCATGGGGTCCTGTTGGTGGGTTAGAGGCTCTGACCCCATAACCATTTTGGAGATGTACAGGGTTTGAAAAGAGGAGAGGCCATGTGACGCACTCTTAGCACTGGGCTGCAGGACTTGGCTTGCACTTGGCACTGAGCAGATTGCGTGCTTGCACCGGGCAGGATCTTCCAAGTTGTTGTGCTTCATTTCAGAATTTGGCCCAGTCATTAAACCCAATTGCTGCTCCCTTAGTCTCTCCTGGGGGAGCAGAAGCCACTGTAATTGAGCAGCAGGCCCGTTGCTGGAAGCAGTCACACTGCTCCTGCTTGCAAACGCTTAGCTACAGATAAGCAGAGACAAATAGGTGTTTAATGCACCCACTGCTCCCTTACAAACGTCTGGGAAAGCAAGTCACAAGGAGCAGGGAGATCCTGCTGCTGACATCTGTGCCGTTCTCCTCTCCAGGAAGGACTGGTGATGCTGCCATGCGTGGTACATTCGTGTATGCCCTGTGTGTGCAGAGGCTGGAGCAGAGCCTGGCAGGGAAAATCATCTTACCTTTCCTGTTCACAAGTGGCTCAGAGAATTCCCTCCTGCCAGTTTCTGTGGGTGTCTGGAGGAGAGGGGCAAGAGTAGGTGGGGGCTGTGTTTGGCCCCGCTGGCCCATGCCTTCTGAGATGGGACACTCC